CTTTGTACCCATTAGTCCACCTCTTCCCCTCCCTGCCCCACACCCCTTCCCTCCCTTCCCATCCTCCGGTACCCATTATTATATTCTACTTCTATGAGAACCACATTTTTTTTTTCCTTTTTGTCTTTTTTCGTGACCGGCAACGGATCGCAACCCTCAGTGTCGCGCCCGTACCGGCAAGGGGATCGCAACCCTCGGTGTTGCACCTGCACCTCGCTCAGCCAGTGAGCGGCCGGTCTGTATGTGGGATCCGACGCTTGGGAGCGCGGCAGAGAACCACATTTTTTTAAGATTTCACATATGAGTGAGATCTTGTGGTATTTGTTTTTCTGTGGCTGACATACTTCACTTAACATGATGGTCTCCAGTTCCACAAATGTTGCTGCAAATGACAGGATTTAATTTTTTTAATAGCTGAATAGTATTCCATTGTGCATATATACCACATTATTTTTTTCTATTCATCAGTTGATGGACTTTCAGGTTGATTCCATCTGTTGGCTACAAAAGCTATTTCTAAGACCTCCACTTACACGGAGAATCCCAGAGCAGGCAGTAAATTAACTGGCATTACATGCAAGACAGTAAGAGAGGTACAGGGGGAATGCTCCTCTGTGGTAAGGATTTACAGAGGAGCATAGAAACGAAGACAAAACCAAGGACTTGAGCCAGAGTGGCAAGTCCAGCATGAAAGTATAAGCAAAACCTATTTTAGCCTGGAGTGTGCCAAACAGGCCCATCTCTACCAGGTGCTAGATGGGTGTGATATTGTGATACAACAAGAAATACATATTTGGTCTCTGTCCCTGATTCTTGGCACACAGCTCCTGAAACCCTTGGAATCTCTGGAGTGATAAAAGTGTCTTTTGTATGCTAATGAGATGACTGGTGGGGAGGGCTCCTAGATAGCTTCAGGATGGGGGCTGCTAACCAGAAAGACCAAGGCAGCATTAGAGGGTTGGGGTTTTCAGTCCCACCCCCCAACCTCTAGGGAGGGGAGAGGGGCTGAAGTTTGATATGATCACCAGTGGCCAGTCAACATGCCTATGTAATGAAGCCTTCATAAAAATCTAAAAAGACAAGGTTCAGAGTTTCTGGATAGCTGAACTTGTGGAGATGCCTGGCGGGTGGTGTGCCTGGAGAGGACATTGAAGCTCCACACCCCTTCCCACAACCTTGCCCTGTGCATCAACTCCATCTGGCTGTTCCTCTGTATGCCCTATTATATAGCCTTCATTAATAAACCAGCAAATGTAAGTGTTTTTCTAAGTTCTATGAGCCAGTCTAGCAAATTAACCCAAGAAGGGGGTTGTTGGAACCCAAGAAGGGGGTTGTAGGAACCCCCAATTTATAGCCAGTTGGTCAGAAGCACAGGCCACATCCTGTCCTTGCGATTAGCATCTGAAGTGGTGGCTGTGGGACTGAGCTCTGACCTGTGGGATCTGGTGCTATCTCCTGGTGGATAGTGTCAGAAATGAATGAATTAGAGGACATCCAGCTGGCATCCACTCAAGAGTCTGTTGTCAGAAGTGTTGTGTTGAGTGGTGTGTGAGAGTAGAAAAAACACTTTGGGTCTTTCCTGTCCTTAATACTGGGTGCCTGTAGCAAGTGCTCAATTTCTGTGTCTCTGTCTCCTCATTAGTACAATGGAGATAATAGTGACACCTACTCTTTAAAGATCATTTTGAGAATTAATTGTTAATACAGATTGTTGGAAAAATAGAATAGTTTAATCAGGGCCCCTCGCCTAGGGTCCTGTTGGGAGTGGTGTAGCACATTCTTTGTAAATAAGTTGTGTGTGGGTGGAGTTAGTGCACATGCGTCGCACTGCACCTTGGCTGGTGTCTAGTGCCTCAGACGGCCACTCATGCTGCCATGCTCTTGGACCTATGGCTCCAAGGACCTTTTTGGCTGATTACCTAGCTCACAGACCTGCGTGTGAGGGATCTGGGGACCCAGCCTGGTGTGTGAGGGGTCTGGGGACCCAGCCTGGTCTGTGAAGGGCTTGTGACCCAGTCTGTGAACAGGCTTGAGGGGTCCGTGAGCTCCAGACCCAGCCCTAGTCCTACAATTGGCCCAGTCAGTGCAGGATTAGGGGCAGGTAAAATAGTGTGACACAGATAAAGCGGGGAGAACATGCCTGACACATAGTGAGTGCTCCATAAATGCTGGTCATTTTAATTTTCACTCCCATCATTTTAGCTTCATTCCCCTGGGATTAAAAAATCTTTTAAGGGCCGGTCTGGTGGCGCACTCGGTAGAGCGCGGCACTTGGGAGTGTGGTGGCGCTCCCGCCAAGGGTTCGGATCCCATATAGACTGGTCTGCTCACTGGTTGAGCGCGGTGCGGACGCGACACCGAGGGTTGCGATCCCCGTTGCTGGTCACGAAAAAAGACAAAAAGGAAAAAAAAAACAATCTTTTAAAACACCCCAATTAAAATGCAAAAATCCGATTCCTGGGAGGTGTATCAAAGATTCCATATTTGAAAAAGCTGTAATTCTGAAACATACTACAAAACACAACATACACACTGCATGGTAAAAAGTTGTAAGAGACTCTGAAGGAGAGAACAGAACTGTGCTTACTAGAGGTGGGAAAGGGGGAGAGGGGGATGGGAGATGGTGAGAGGTTGGTTAAAGGACACATAATAGCCAGATACGAAAAATAAGTTTGATAGTTGTACAGCAGGGCTAGGCATCTGTAATTAACATTTATTTATTGCATGTTATCAAATGACTAGAAGAGAAGAGATTAAATGTCCTTATCTCAAAGAAATGATTGTAAGTCTTGTAATGATGAATATGCGAATTACCCTGATTTGATCATCACAGATTATATACATGCACTGATATTCAACTCTGTACCCCACGAATATGTATAACCAATACATTTTAATTTAAAAAAAAAAGTTATAAGAGAAACAAAGGCCAACTGGCATTTGTGAAACAGATGTAAAATTAAAACTTAGTATATATAGCAAATGAGAAAACCCAAGAAAGGAGAAAAGATTTATTATTAATAAGTACAGTTTAGATAACTGGAGCAGAATTTAAGCAAGCATTTTGCACAGAGAGTTTCCCTGATTTAGTCCCATAGATGATTTTATGATATAAAAAAAGAGTGAGCAAACTCTAGCTTCTGCCTGTTTTTGTACAGCCCACAAGCAAAGGATGACTTTTATATTTTAAATAATTGAAAAAAAAAATATTCATGACATATGATAATTAGAGGAAATTCAAATTTCAGTGTCCACAAAAAAAAAGTTTTATTGGAACACAGTCATGCCCATGCTTTTAGGTATTGTCTAGGGCTGCTTTTGCCATCTGAAGGAATGACCCAAAAGCCAGAAATACTTATTGTCTGACTCTTTACAGCTAAAGTTTACCAACCACTGGTCTAAAAAGTTTAGGAAATTCTCCTGATGATAACCTTTTCTTGGAAAGGCACAACTAAGATTAACCTATTGATGGCTCCAGCAGACCCTTCAGGAGAGCTTCTGGAAACGGTGACTTAGCTGAACCCATAACTGCCCAAACATCTGCGACCATACAATCCTTTATTCACATAATATGTATGAACATCCGGCAAGACACACTGATGCTGTTCTCACCACAAATATGAGACTGAAGTCCAGAAAAATCAACAAACCCAGCATTTAAAAGATCAAATATAAAGTTCAAAGTTATCAGAATAGTTTATTTATCCCACCTGTAAAGGAAACAATTTCTGACTATTTGAACAAAATGAAAAACAATAAAAAATATTCTCAGGGGCCGGCCTGTGGCTCACTCGGTAGAGTGCGGTGCTGATAACACCAAGGCCACGGGTTCGGATCCCGTATATAGGGATGGCCGGTTCGCTCACTGGCTGAGTGTGGTGCTGACAACACCAAGTCGAGGGTTAAGATCTCCTTACCGGTCATCTTTTAAAAAATATATATATATATATTCTCAGACACAAAAAAGAAAATGGGCTGAAAAATATAAACCTAAACTCTTGTGCTATTAAAAAATATTAAAAGTAGAATGTAAAAACATGTGCCACACAGAGCTGACAAAAGCCTATAACCAAAAATACAAATAAGAGTAACATGACTTCTACCCAACAGTCAAGACAGAGAATGGCATGAGTAATTACACAGGCAATTATCATATGGATAAATTTATGGCATCCCTAGCAACTACTGAAATGCAACTTTGCACAACAATGACCCTTACATACCTATATTAAAGCAGCATAAATAAAATGATAAACTCCAATGCTGGCAGGCTTGCGGGGTAGAAAGCACATTTATAGGTGGCTGGTGGCACTCTAAATTAATTCAGTCTTCCTGAAAACAATCTGGCAATATGCAGCAAAAGCCATAATACTGTTCATTTATTTCCTTTGCCCTGGCAGTTCCACTTTGAGGAATACATCTTGGGGAAACAACCCAAAAGAACAAAAGGGAAGAGTAATTGGTTTGTGCAGAGACAACTTCATCAGTGCTGCCTGTGAGGAAGAACAACAGCAATCCAAGGGTCCAGCAACAGTAGGAAGGCTCGAGACACTGCCAACCAGAGGGCATACAGCTATTTAAAAGTGGCGGGGATGAAGGCCAGAACTGATGAGAATCACAGCACCTCTAGCTTACTCAACACACAAACTTTGGGTTTCCCATCCCATCCACTACTCCCTTTCAGAGTAATCAGACCACCATAGACCACTCAACTCAGGAAGCTGGGAGTAAGCCTTGAATTGCTTTCCTTCAGTACCACCTGCCCTCTCCTCCCTCACCATCAGTTAACTCTGCAAAATCCATACCTGGAAAATCCATACCTGGTAATGCCCATCTTCACGGCCACCACCCAGTACCATCTCGAGCCAGAACTACTATAAAAGATTCCAACTGTCCATGTTTCCTGTCTCTAACTCATTCTCCACAGAGCTGTCAGAGTGATCTTTTTTTTTTTTTTTAAAGATGACCGGTAAGGGGATCTTAACCCTTGACTTGGTGTTGTCAGCACCACGCTCACCCAGTGAGCGAACCGGCCATCCCTATGTGGGATCCGAACCCGGGGCCTTGGTGTTTATCAGCACCGCACTCTCCCGAGTGAGCCACAGGCCGGTCCCCAGAGTGATCTTTTAAAAACATCAAATTCAAGCCATATTATTATCCTGCTTCCCATTGCACTCTGAGTGATATCCTGATGGCTTCACCCCTTGAAAGGTGGTCCCTGCCTATCTCTCCAACCTCAATCCAAGCTCCCATTGCCCCCATTCACGGAGCAACAACCATGATGGTTGTATTAGTCCATTTCTAGTGCTTATACCAAAATACTTGGAACTGGGTGACTTGTAAGAAAACAAACTTTATTGCTTATGGTTTTAGAGGCTAGGAACTCCAAAGTCCAGGGAACATATCTGGTGAGGGTTTTCTTGGTGGTGGCTTTACAGCAATGCAAGGGTCTCACATGGCAGAAAATGGCACAACAGAGAGGAAGAGATTCCCCCATGCCCCTGACCGCCACTATTAATGCATTCACTACAGCATGGTCCTACAATCTAATCACCTCTTCAAGGCTCCACATTTCAATTACCATAACACGTTTTCCCATCCTCAACAGTTACAGTGGGGATTGAAGCTTCAGTGAGGTTGGGGGGAATCCAATGTACAGCATCCCTCTCTCGGTCCACCAAAACTCATGTCCTTTTCACATACAAATACATTCATTTCATCCCCATATCCCCTAAGTCTTAATTTGTTTCAATTCAAAAGTCCAAGGTCTCAAGATCCCATCTGTGAAATCTGAACAAGTTATCTAATTCCAAGATATAATGGCGGGACAAGCACAGGGTACATATTCCCATTCAAAAAGGGAGAAATAGACCAAGAAAGGGGTAACAGGTCCTAAGCAAGTCTGAAACCCAGCAGGGCAGGCATTAAATCTCAAACCCGGTGAATCATGTATCCTGACTGCATGTTTGACGTCCTCTGCACACTGGTGTGGGAGTTGAGTCCCCAAGTCCTTGGGCAGCTCCACTTATATGGCTTTCCTGGTCTATGGCCATACTTCACACCTCCCCAGCTGGCATTGCACACTGGTAGCCCCACAATTCTGGGGTCTCCATGGCAGTCCCACTCTCACAGCTCCTTTAGGCATGGCCTTGGTGGTGGTGTTCTGCTACAACCCTGACCCTGTATTTCCTCATCGCTCTAGTGAAGATTCCATGCGGTGAATCTGCCCGTGACAGATCTCTTCCTGGACCCCCAGCCTTTCCCATACATCCTTCGAAATGAGAGTGGAAGCTCCCAAGCCTTCACAGCTCTGGCATTCTGCAAGCCTGCAGACCTAACATGATGTAGATGCCACCAAGGCTTCTGGCTTGTAGCTTCCAAAGCTGTGGGTCCAGCCACACCTGGGGACAATTTAGCCACAGCTGGAGCAGCCGAAGTAGCTGGGGTGCTGGTGCTAGAAGCAGCTTCCTGAGGTGACCCTGGGCAGCCAGTCCATGGAAGACACCTCAGGCCTGTGCCCCAAATTCATTCTGTCTTCCTAGGCCTCTGGGGCCAGAGGCTTCTGCAATGCCTTCAGGGCTCCTTTTCCCCTCTCTTGATAATCCCTTTCTTTTGTACTAATCTTCTTAGCACCATTGCATTTTTCTCCTGAAAATACTCTCTGTTTTTCTACCATATGGCCAGGCTGCAAATTTTCCAAATCCTTACACTCTGTTTCCCTTTTAATAATACATTCTGGTTTTACATCATGCCTTTTCTGCCATAACTCAGTGTAGGCTGTTGCAAGTAGCTGTGCAGCTTCCTTGATGTTTTGCTGCTTAGAGACTTCTTCTGCCAAATATTCTAGGTCAGCGCTTTAAGTTTCACATTCCATAAAACTTTTGGGCATGAACAGAATGCAGCCAAGTTCCTTGCCAGTTCATAGCAAGGGTGATCTTTGCCCCAGCTTCCAATAAATCCCTTCTCATTCACATCTGAGATCTTCTCAGAATGGCCTTTACTGTCCATATTTCTATCAGCATTCTGCTTACCACCATTTAACCAGTCTTTAAGAAGTTCCAAGCTTTCCCCAGTTTTCTTGTCTTCTAAACTCCCACAAGCAGCTAGGCTTTTTCTAGCCTGATCCTTCAAATTCTTCCAGCCTTTGCCCATTACCCAGTTCCAAAGCTGTTTCCATATTTCCAAGTATCTGTTGTAAGCAACACCCTACTTCTCTGGTACCAGTTTTTTGTATTAGTCCATTTCTGTTGCTTATAACAAAATACTTGGAACTGGATGATTTGCAAGAAAATGAAATTTATTACTTACAGTTTTAGTGGCTGGGAAGTCCAAAGTCCAGGGAACACATCTGGTGAGTCTTCTCAGTAGTGGCTTTTCAGCAATACAAGGGTCTCAGATGGCAGAGCAGAGAGACAGAGACTCTCATGTACTCTCCTTTTAAAGCCCTCAGAACCACACCCCTGACCACCATTATTAATTCACTCACTAAGGCATGTTCCTACAATCTAATCACCTCTTCAAGGCCCCACATTTCCATTACCATAATAGAATTACCCCCCCGCCCCCCTAACATTTATAGTAGAGATGTAAGCTTCAATGAGGTTGGGGCATCCAATCTACAGCAACGGTCTTTATATTCTCTTAACATGTGAACTCTTTCCTACCACTTGTTGTTGCCTCCTACTGGCATACTCTTCCTTCTACTCTTTGAGTGGCTGGTTCTGATTAAATAGCACCCCTTCTATGAACGTCAAGAGAGAGAGACCATGAGTAGCCTTTCACTATGATATACCCAGAGTCTAGCAATGCCTGACATTTAAATAGATGTTCCATAAGTTTTATCAAATGGATGAAAAATATAAATTATCTAAGATAACGGAAAATGGCTACACAAAGAAAAGCAGAACACAAGCACGTATATACACATTAGTTTTAACTATATATATACTGTTAAGGTAGATAATTGAATTGGGAAGACATAAACAGACTTCCATATCCACCAGATTCTTCTAATCTGCCAACTTGCTTAAGTTCAAAATGTTCTTCCTTGGGGCCAGCCCATGGCTCACTCGGGAGAGTGTGGTGCTGATAACACCAAGGCCCCGGGTTCGGATCCCAAATAGGGATGGCTGGTTCACTCACTGGACTCGGGAGAGTGTGGTGCTGATAACACCAAGGCCACGGGTTCGGATCCCAAATAGGGATGGCTGGTTCACTCACTGAATGAGCATGGTGCTGACAACACCAAGTCAAGGGTTAAGATCCCCTTACCTGTCATCTTTTAAAAAAAAAAATGTTCTTTCTTAATAACTCAACTACCCTTGAGTTGTAGCTCAAAGTACTGAGATGTAGCTCAAGCTGCAACTGCCCTCTAACTTGTCTGGAATGAACCAACAGTGAAAAGCAAGATCCTTCTGGAATTAATTCAACAATCATTCATTGCTTAACTACTATGTGTCAGGGCATTGAGCCAGAAACACAAAGATGAATAGCACATTGTCCATTGTCTTTGAGAAGCTGAAATGGAATAACAACATTGACCCTGGGCATTCCAAATGAGGAGGGAAACACACACTGTACTAGTCCATTTCTATTGCTTATAACAAAATTCACAGAACTGGGTACTTGGAAGAAAATGGGTACTTGCTTACAATTTCTGAGGCTGGGAAGTCCAAAGTCCATCTGGTGGTAGAGACAGTGACCCAGGGGTTTCAAATTGCAAGAGGGTGGAAGCAGAGAGAGAGAGAGACTCTTCGTGCTTCCCTTTTAAAGCCTTCCAAACCATGCCCATGACCACCATTTTTAATCCATTCACTGTGGCATGGTCCTACAATCTAATCACCTCTTCAAGGCTCCACCTTTCAGTTACCATAATAGGACTTCCCACCCTCTTAACAGTCACAGTGGGGGCTAAGTTTCCAATACATAAAATTTGGGGGACACAATTCAAGCTTCAGTGAGTTTTCGGGGGACATAGTTCAATACACTACATTCTGCCCCTGGCCCTCCAAAACTCTTGTCCTTTTCACATACAAATACATTCATCTCATCCCCAAAGTCTTAACTTGTTTCAACTCAAAATTCCAAAGTCCAAAGTCCCATCTGTGAATTAAAAACGAGTTATCTACTTTGAAGATACAATGGTGGGACAAGCTTAAGGGTACATATTCCTGTTCAAAAAGAGAGAAATCGGTCAAAAGAAAGGGTAACAGGTCCCCAACAGTCTGAAACCCAGTAGGGCAGGCATTAAATCTCAAAGCTGGTGAATCAGGCACCTTGACTCCATATTTGATGTCCTGTGCACACTGGTGTGGTGATTGGATCCCCATGTCCTTGGGCAGCTCCATTCCTATGGCTTTCCTAGTCACAGGCCACACTTCAGCTCTCCCAGGCTGGGGTTGCACTCTGGTAACTCCGCAATTTTGGAGTCTCCATGGTGGTTCAACTGCCACAACTCCACTAGGCATGGTGCTTATGGGGTTTCTCTGCTGCAACTCTGACCCCACATTTGCGTACTGCATTGCTCTAGTGAAGGTTCTATGTGGTGAATCCGCCCCGTGACCGATCTCTTCATGGGCCCCCAGGCTTTTCCATACATCCTTGCAATTGGAGTGGAGGTTCCCAAGTCTTCAGAGCTTTGGCATTCTGTGAGTCTGCAGACCTAACACCATGTGGACCCTGCCAAAACTTCTGGCTTATATTTTTCAAAGCGGTGGGTTCAGACACACCTGGGGCCAATTTAGCCACAGCTGGAACAGCCAAAGTAGCTAGGGTGCTGGTATGGGGAGCCGCATCCCAAAGTGGCCCTTGGCAGTGAGCCCGTGGAGGGCACCTCAGGCCTGTTCCCCAAGACCATTCT